AGGTACTCCAATCGTAGTATTGTCAGGGTACGCAATTCGTCCTTGGCTGTTGATAACTAGTTCTCCTCGGTTCTGAACCTCGGAAAAGTCTCGACAAAATCTGCGCTGATGTCCTTCTTGATCGCAATAAACGCATCGCAAAGGTCGAACATTCGCATTGCCGGTGTTCGTTGAGCTACTGCCTTGCGAATCGTTCGCAGGCGGAAGTTGGGTCGCAGGAGTCAAACTCTGCAGGATTCGGTTCTGGCTAGTCTGCAACTGTGCCATTCGTTCGGTCATCTCTCAAACTGCACGGTCAAGTTTGCTCTCAGTCTGCAATACTTGTCCTTGTACGAAGTTCAGCTGGTTGCTAACAGTTGGGTTCGTGATACCGGGGATCGTAAGAATCGGTTTCTGAACAGTCACAGATCGCACGTCGGGTTTGGGTTGCTTAATAACTGTCGTAAGTGTGACGTCAGAGGAAACGTAGACAATTTTGGGCCCTTCCGAGAGGGCTGAGAGCAGTGTATTGTAGTGAAGAAAAAAGTAAGAAGCTCTTCGCAACGGCCGCTTGACTGACAGCTTTATATATGGGCTGCCAGTGGGGCTTGCGTGGCTTCAGTGAGGCTTAACGCCTTATATAAATGTATCACCAAGAGCTCGGGTGGCCAGTCCGGGTCTCGGATCAAGTAGAAGTAAAGAGATATAATATGAAATACAAGTGAAGACAAGATATCCCCGACACCTCCCTCAGATCCTGAGGAGGGCGCCGAATAAATGAGAGGTGAACTACGAGGGATATGTGAAGAAAGGGAGAGCTCTTGTTCATTTTAAAGCGTTGACGCACTTGTTCATTTTATAGTGTTGACGCACTGTGTGATATGTGTGTTTGAGGCAAAGGCGTTGGATCAGTGCATAGCATAAACCATTGATGCACTGATCCACTATACAATTGCACTGTGCAATAACCGTACTGACTCCACGCAACACTGTGCATTAACCGTAACAGCTGCTGAAAGTGTAATGCATTAACCGTAACGGCTGCTGAAAGTGTAATGCATTAACCGTACTGGCGGGTGTATGGTGTAATGTATTAACAATGTACCCTACACCTTCGGTGTTATGCATTAACCGCACAAGCCTTTCAGCCATTAACCATCCTTGCGCAATTTGGGAAAGGGGGCAAAGTCAAAATTCCCCCCTACATGCATCGAGTCCAACCAACCTTTCTACTACTTCCCCATTCCCTGTTCCATGTAGGGGGGCAAAAAGGCAATTTCCGAACCAACTCTCACCACCAAAAAGAGACATCCTTTTCTCATTCTTCTTTTCAAAACTTTTCATATATCCTCTCATAGGTTTAGAAACTGCCAAAATGCCCCCCCTGTATCTTTTTCCCGTCTGCGGGGGCATTTTTGAAAAAGGGGGGCAAAACAAAATGCCCCCCTACATGCGTCTAGCCAAACTACCCTTCCTATCTATTCGCCCATACCATATTTCATGTAGGGGGGCAAAAAGGCAATTTTCAAACCCACCCTCTCCCACACAAATCACACTTCTTTCCTCATTATTCTTCTCAAAATACTTTTTATATATTCTCTCATAGGTTTTGAAACTGCCAAAATGCCCCCCTACATCTATTATCCCGTCCTCACTCTCTCTTTTCTTTCCACTTCTCTACATTCCTCTAGGGGGGCATTTTCACTTTGCCCCACTTCTCAAAATCCCCCCCGCTTATTCTATATACATCTCTCCTTCTCTGGTCGCCTTTTTCAGTCCAAGGAACCATATGTTCCCTCTTATTTTTCGTTCCTTGATTTGAATGGTTGTTAGTTCTTTGAAAAATTGCTGCTTTCCGACGCGCCTCGATTGATCGAGAACCGTAACGGAATACTCCTTGTATAAATCAGATCTGGTCACCCGGTCATCATCGCTTCCTGTGATATCGTAGTGGAAACTTCAACCATTTCGCTGCTGCCAAACTGTTCGCTAGGTTCTTTTGGGTGAAGGCTCGTACCTCTGCAGGGACTTCAATGCTCATATTGAGGGTTTTATCTTCCTTCACAAAACGTTTGCGGAATATGCCAATGAGAAGCAAAATGAACTCGTCCCGACATGCATTTGTTTTGAAGTATCCTTTCAACTTCATATTACCTTCTTTTTGAAGTTGTTCCTCCTGAATTCCATCTCCCTCTTCCTCGATCGGTTCAGAGCCATTGAGAGTGAAACTGTATGGAAACTCTTGCATTCGCACCCGATTGCACAATGCGAGGTCTATTTTATCAAAGACCGGGTCTTCATTTGTCTGAACATTGGTTTGCCCAGTGATCGGAAAACTGATGGGTTTACCGTTAAGTGTTCTCACTGTTATCTTATCATTCCCAGACACTTTCTTGAACATTTCGGATAAAAATCGATCATTCTTATTTGTTTTGCTCGTCATCAAATACCTCTTTCCGAAGCAATTGTATAGTTGCGAGTTTGCTTTGTCAACATCTTGCTGCTCCCGGGTAAAGTTTTTCTTGTCCAAGGTATTGAAGTAATTTTCAAACGTAACAGCAAGGAGAGTCCCTTCCACACCCTTTCCGTTCCGACCCGGCCCCTTGAGGATCGTGAAGATTTCCTCAACTAGTTCTCCGTAGAGACACCTCGCAACATTGCAAAGTCGGTAAGTCATCAATTCTTCAGTTCGGAATATAGATTGGTAAAAGTTTTCAATCTTCTCACGCATCTCAGGGCTTTGTGTCGTCGGATAGTTGTAACCACATGTGAATAGTATGTAATCATCCCATTTGATGGATCTTGCCTCTCCTTCAATCAGGTCGTACACTTTATCGTTAAAAGCAAATAGGTGAGGCTTTGAAAGAAAAAGTTCGATGCAGGTGTCGTTCGCGATACAGAGCCGTTCCACGTTCTGTGCTACATTGATGGAGTACGTAGTCTCCTCGATCAGCATTCGAAACTTTTCGCAAAATCATCGCAGTTTCAGATACTTACCGTGATCACTTCTTTGTGAGTCAAAATCATCTAGTAGTTTCTCAAAACTGCGAATCAACGTGTCTGCAATCTGAAGATTCAAGTCGCTATTTCGGACCCCGCCCTCATACTTTCGCCAGATATTATCTTTGCCTAGAACAAACATCAAGCCGCTTGAATGTTTCAATAAAGTCTCACCTTGCTCTTCAATGAACCATTCGGCGGGATTCTTGTGGCTAATATTCAAAATTTGGCGGAAATCAAACTTCTCCCAACCTGTTAGACCTTCCAAATCTTCACAAGTTACAACAGTATCCTTTTCTTCACTCGTTTTTGCGGGTTCAGTAATGGGCGGCGGGAACAAGTCCAAGATCTTTTTGCTTTTATGAACATAGGTTTTTGAGCGTTCACAGTGCTGACATTTGAACGTGAATTTCTTTCGATCCACTATGAAAAATATTTTGGGAACGGAGACATCATGTTCTGCATGGTGCAACATGCAGTATGTGGTTCTCAAAAATACCACAATCGCATCCTCATAGTTTTGTACGGCCCCAAAATCTCTTTCCAAATATTCCGTTTTTCCACAGAGTTTGGTAACTGAATCGTAAATAGTGCTGATTACCTCCGTATTAGCATCGTTGTCAATAGGATATTTTGCCTTTTTCTTCTTTGGTTGCGGTTGGTCTTCAAGGTCCGAGTCCGGAACCAGGACAAATTCATCATTGGCAGGACGCTTTCTATTATCAGATTGAATTGTCCATTCAACCGGGGTCCAGTCCGCCTCTACATATTGAATGATATATGAAGAGATTGGTGCATCTGGTTCGCTTTTGATGAGAAGTCGGTTATCCCAACGATTTTTGACTTTGTCCACCATCACCATGGACCGATTGTTGTCATAGACAGAAAGATCAAAAAATCCATCCTTGAAATTGTAGTCTCGAACAACATCCGGGAAGTCGGACAAATCTGGGATGAATTTCTTGAGTTTCTTCTTCATTTCATTCCAGGTCGTATACATACCGTCTGCCCGTAGGCAATAAGAGACTTTATATCCACCACCGGTTTCGACGTATTTACCATTTTTGTCCTTGGTGTGCTTAGGAGCGTATCCCATTGTACGGAACGCAGAATGAAAAGTAATATCCTCATTTAAATACAAGGAGGTAAATACTTTATCAACACCTTCACGGATTTCAGTCTCGACTTCTTCAGAGGGCAGATCGGATTCTTCCTCAAATCTCATATCGAAATCGACAAACAATTTGATCTTGTCATTGGCGCCCAATTTTGTAAAGTTTTCGGTAAGCCACTTGTGTTCCATATGTTTCTTTTCGTCTTCTTCGAGTGTCCAATTGAACTCGGGAACACCTCCGAAGTAAGATTCCTTGAAATGATAGATGTCTCTGATAGGTTTGGATTCAACGTGAGCAGCAAATTTGGAAGACATGGTGCTTTACTAAGAATACACTTAGAAGTTTAAATGGCATTTAAACGCAAGTAACAAAAATAAACATATATGTACCAATAAAGAAGCATCGTTATTGCTACAAAGATGTACATTCCTTACAACTATATTGCATCACTCTTTGAGGATGGAGAAATCAAGACTGTCACAGGCCGGAGCGTCCGTGATCTTGCTAGAAAACTAGATATTGCCGCATCCACTGTTGCGCGAATTTTGGGTAATGTAGAATCATGCAGGACGCGGAGACACATCACCATCAAAAGGACACTGAAAGAGCCTTTGAGTACGAAATCAGATGATCGGGATCAATCCGAATCGAATTCTATCTTGAAACCTTTAGGTTCCTTTGACTTGACCCAACAATCGTAGCAGTATGGCCGATTTTTGATGTAGGGAATAGGTTCTGATTGGCATTCAGCGGTCTTGCATTTTCGAGTTCCTTCCGGGTAATTAATTTTGCCTGAAGGAGAGCGCTTTGGATACCAAGGACGCATTGTTTCTTTGAAATTCATTCAAATTGATATGTACAAGGAACTATTTACTTATTTACAATTGTAACGCATATTTCCACAAACTACTCTTCAATGGCTTTTGATAGGATGTCAATATCGCTCAGTAGGAACTTATCACGTCCTCCATGTTTGTCCCCCTCCTCTTCCTTCAACCGGATCCCGTAAAACCCGGTTGTTTGGACCCCGTCGATTCGTCGGTTCGTACCAAAGGAGACGGCAGGGTACGCGTGAAGCAGGAAAGCCTTGAAATCCTGGGTCCGCGGTGAGCATTTGCGCCATACTGGATGCTGTTTTGTCCAATTTTGGAGGCACGCCATAGCCATGCATTGTCGCATTTTGGCGCCTTCTTCAATAACGCACATTTCTTTTACAAAAGTTCGATACGGATGCACTCTTGTGACTAAATCTGCAGTCGCTGAAATCACTGACGCGGGCTTGCTCAGTAATGGATATTCTTCCGTTTGAAGATGATCGTGATGCAAAGAAACCATGAGTGCCATCATGGCACTCGCTAAGTCCCGGTCTTCGTTGTTGATGAGCCGGTCGAGTTCACCGTCCTTATAATATACATGTTGACTCGGATCTTCATGTTCATGAGCGCTGACGAACTTCGATTTGCAAGGTATTACAACCAACTTGTCCGTAATATCTCTGTGATCGTTGTCGTAGAGTCCACAATCGAAATATGGAAGATGATTTGTAGCGAGAACAACCAATCCCGTTATCGTAAGTTCTTCATTCTTGCCATAAGCCCTCCTAAGGTACGCAGAATCTCCTCCGACAGCCATTTTGACTGCCGAACCGGAATACAAATCCTTCTCATCCCCTTCAGAAAACCAAGTGATAAGTGTTGATTTTTGCCCCATTTTCCAGTGAATGTCAGACGGCTTATTTCCGTTCCCCGGTTTGCTTTGTAGGCTGCTGGCGGTCGCTCCCAGAAACCGATAACATGTCATAAGTTTCATCAATCTTCCAACCAAACTTTTGCCATTGGAACTTGGACCGTAAAGTATAAGCAGTTCACGAAGACCGCGTCTGCTTCCCAGGATGGTACTGAGATTGGTGAGCCCGAAGAAACGATCGGAGGAGTCAGGCCACATTTTGCAAAAGGCATCCCACAAGTACCGCTGTTTGGGATACTTCTCGGGATCCCACTCAACAAGATCATAGTCAAACGCTTCAATATCGCCGTCTTCATCGGTGCGCTCCCGATATTCACCGACTTTTCGGTCGTAAACAAGGCCGTTTCTGAAAGCGATCAGATGGCTGTTGTCCACAGGAGGCTTGGCGTCCTCAGCCTCCCTCCATCGCAATCGTCCGAATATGATGTCGACAACCTTCTTGGCTCCTTTACCAATTTCATGCTTTGCGCCTTCGCTTTGATTCTTGTCGGTGGTATTAAAACAATCGAATAATACTTGACCAACGTACGCGGTGAAGGCTGTTTTGTCGAAGTGGGTGTTTGTGCGCGTCGCAGGATTCCATCATACGAAGCCTTTGGTGTCGTTCAATCGAATGAGATGCCCATAAAACCGTTCGAAGAACTCGGCGGCAGGGGTTACCCATTGACCCTTTTTCTTTTTGTCCTCTGTTGATTTCGGGTTTATGTGTGCTATCAAAGCATGGCCAAATTCCCAAAACGAAACACGGATAGTGCACGGTTTGCATTGACACTGGAACATATCATGAGTCGATCCTGCCTTCTGCGAAGAAGCCAGATCTTCATGAGAAACAAGCGCGGTGCTGCCATCGATAGATTTGTGACGTTCCTGGGGGTCATCATTGTTGGCGGCGATTTGGTTGTTGTCAATCTGGATCTCTTCGTTTTCATTGAATTTCATCTGCAATTCAGGGATATCGGGCGGGTTGACACTCGGAGTGCCCGGAAGGATTCGGTCAGGCACATCGTCCAGACGTTCCTGGGGATGATCGTTATTGACATCGGTTTGGTTGTCAATCATGACGTTTTCATTTTGATTGACATCCATCTGCAAGCCAACGAGATCGGGCATGATCGTCGGAGTGTTTTGAGTCGAAGGAGAATCCAATGGCCCGATGCTCAAATTCATAGGATCGATATTGAATATATTGTCCAAGTCCAACGCAACTGAGATGTCGATATGGTCTTCATTGCAATTCACTTCGTTATTGATCACATCCAAAGAGCCCGGTTCAGCCCTTTGGACGGTACGTTTGGCTTTTTTGATGCGCTTCGGAGCCAATTCCATGGTGTTTTGGCGTTTTTGCATGTTGAGAACGTGCGTTTGTTGAAAGTTATGGCGAAAGCGGTTGTGTGCAATAGTTGTTAAAAGTGGGGAACTGTTTGAAATTTTTTGAAGGGAAACAAACATTTTTTTACCCTTATATATTTTTTTGTGGCGGTTTTCCTTTCTGCAAACGGGAAAGAACAACATCCGCAACCTCACCTAACTGTAAAGTAAATGATATCAACATGTAGAAACAGTACCCAGGTGGTAACCGACAGGAAACGCCCCCGCGGGCGTTGGAAAACGGGAGGTAAAAAACACCCCCGCTTGCTTTGCTCAGTTATGGAAAGAAAACACCCACCGTTTTTTGTTTCGAGAAGAGTCAAATCACCCCCAAGAGGGGGTGATTTGTTTCTGTACCATTTTTACTCACTCCGCATGTGGGTGAATGCTTAATTTTAGTAACCTTGCCGCGGGGGTGGTTTCGGCTGAATAGACGGCGCAGGTGTGGGCGATTCTGCATGATCATACTCGGGGAAGTGGGGGTGGTTCTGTACTGATTAAAGTTTTGTTTGGGGGTGGGTGTTTTCTTGAATCCTGATGAAATCGGAGTTCCACCTGTAAGTATTCGCGCGCGATGACGTAAACATGCGTTTAATATCGATATTAACGATGTGATTAAATTTCTTATTTAAAGAGTAAAAACGAGTAATGGTTTATGCACAACCAAAGAGCGACACAGCAATGAACATTGAAATAGCCAAGAAACTTATCAACCGATATGCCGATACCGTCCATCAAAAGAATGGAACGATAGGATTGGCTGCGAGTAGCCGAAAGGTATACCTCTCTGCCTGTAATGCACTTGAAGCATACGGAATTCTTGATCCGAACGTTCTATCATCGCCAACCGATGTCATGAAAATCTTGAAAAAGAATTACCCCAAAGACGATGGAGCGAATTGTACAAAGGTGTTGTCCGCTATGTTCAAAATTATGACAAACGAGGAAAAAATAGGATTGTACGATTGGCTTTCGTCTAGCCTCTATGGTGAAACTGCAAAGAAACGATTCCTAGATTCGTGCACAATGGACAAACTTACGCATATTGACGAAATGGGACATTTCTATCTCAAGATCAACGGCGATCGTTGTAAAGAGATACAAGCCCGCGATCTCGTAATGGATAAAGAATATGAAACGAAGCACTTCATTGAAAAAGACCCTTTAATCAACACTCTTTACGAGAAATTGGATGAACTTAAAGAAAAGGCCGTCAAAGACCCTTATAAGTATGGTTTGTTGCTTGCAGCGGCTTGTTTCGTTGGGTCGGATGTTATTCGAAGAGCGGACATTGGCCAAGCAAAGTTTATGCACATTTCCGAAGCGGATAATGTTACATTTGATACGGAAACCCATACCTTTCTTATAAAAATATGTAATAAGAATAGGGGGGACACCGATGTTCTTATTACGGTTATCGATGACATTGTCAAAAGGCACATTGATAATCTGGTTGATATTCGTAAGGCCAAAGGACAGAGTTAATTGTTTGAAAAAGCGCGCAACGCAGGTAAACCCTATGAAGGCGGTGGTTTTGGAAGGGCTATGAAGATCGCTTGTAAACAACATATTGGAAAAGAACTCGGAGTCAATGAACTTAGAAAAATCGTAGTGATCGACTCGATCAAATTGGATAACGGAGATCCTTGGGTCCAAAAAGAGTTTGCTAAAAAGCATGGTCATTCCTATGCAACACGACAAGTCTATTATAATCTTCAAAGGGAGAAGAACGAAGGCTCATCTAATGATGATGCGATGGATATTGACGATCTTAATGACAATTTGGATCTAGATGACAAGTTTTGAAAACCTATTATCCATTTTGCTCTTCATACTAGGCTATGGCCTCCCGTGCATTTTCGAGATTTCCTTCATCTTCCCAAGTTGATTGAGACGCATCATAACCACTCCATAGAACCTTGTACTGCTTTATCCTTCTGTTGCCTCTACGTACTACTCTTGAATCAAGTATCGAATCAATTTCGTATTCGTCGTTTTCATTGGGATCTGGCTGTGAAGCCATGTTGGGTACGTTGACGGTCCCTGATGGAACCAAGCAAAGATCGTTGGCCGATATTAAACCGGGAAGTCTTGTTCCATCCATTCTGTTTAATCTATACGATGAAACATAACCTGCATAATTACTTTGCACTTTCCCTGCAATTCTATAAGTTTGTGACGAGAAATACCCCACTTTTGCGCGTCTTTTAATGCCACTTGGTAACGGTATTATCTTTCTTACAACATCTCCCACCTTAAATTCATTCAAAACTGTTGATTTCACCCCTTTCAATTTCTTGTTCCGTATGCGATCAAAAATGGCTTCATGTTCATCTTGTAAGATTTCATTTGAAGCCTTCCCTGTGGCATACGTTTTCGTGTTGTTTAAATTATCTATGAGTTTTTGAAGATAATTTGGCCAATCCCGTTTTCCGAATCGGATCGAGGAATAGATCAGATTTTTTATATTTTTGTTAACAGATTCAATCTGTCCTTGACCTTGGGGGACTCCGGGTTGTCCAAACTTCCACTCCACGTTATTCGAGTCGGCCCACTCTTGTACCTGACCTTGAAATTCCGTACCTACATCGGATGTGAAACTTACTGATACAGCGCCATCCCGTTTCATTGTTTCTAGAAACTTGACAACAGTGGCTTGATCTTGTGTTTTCATCGCCATACTATACACTTTTTTAGTGAGAATATCCGAAGCATTGACCGAATACTTGTACCCATTGTATGCTATTGCCGTCAAATTTATACAATCAATCTGGTAATTTCCTTCCTTTCTGGCCAAAATCGGTTTTATCGAGCCTCGGGATCCCATAACTTTTGTAGACCTCTGCCAAATCTCTTGCTTCTTGAGAAAGTCGTTAAGAAGGGTTCTTTGCGAAATCCTACGAGTTGGAAATGCTTTTCTATATGCATACCACAATTTGTCTCGTCCTAGAAAGTTTTGATTCTGATAGTAAAACTTGGTGAGGTTCCGGAGATCCTCCGGAGTGATGGGGTCATATCTGAGAGATGAAGGGCCTTTGTTGTCGGAGTCCATCTTTCGTTTATCAATTGACCACAAATTAATGTTGTAGTCAATTTTTTTGTCATTGTTTGGTAAAAAATTGAGAAAAATACCTGAATCTTTTCTCGGGCATGAGCGCTCAGTCAAGAGGTCATACTATATAGGCAAGATTCGAAAAGCCCGATAATGCACAACCCAAAATAATAAAATGGCTCAGGAGTTTGGTCGCGCAGAAGATGTCTTTGTTGCTCAACTCGGAGAATAGTTTTTCGTCTTATTCAGGACGGAAATCTTGGAAATCTTCAAGCGGTCTTTTTCCGCCTAGTGCCTTTAGGTTTTACCTGGTCGTCTAAACTCTTCTGTACCAATGCTTCTGCCATTTCCTTTTGTAAGGATTCGAGTATTTCTTTTCTGGAGTTTTCGTTAACGTCTAACCAAAGGCGATCTTGGGAAAGCGCTGCTAAAACCGTGTCATACGTTTCTTTTGTTACAGTATCTGGTATAAAGAACATTTCTATTCAAAAACCAACAATTTAAAAAAAGTGGTGAAACCCGTCTTTGTCGCAATACCGGTACATCGTTCGCGCATCATCCGCTGCCAAATTCACATATGCAAACGAATACGGCTCCTTTGTGCTTTCGGTAAGATACGATAGAACTTCTTTTTTTGTTTTGAACGCACTTGTCAATAATTTTGCCAAAGATTCCATATCCTCCGAATTATTCTTAAAGATTATGAACTCTGTTGTGTTGTTCTTCATCTTTCGAGTCAGTTGACCGCTCACGGACTGGATGCACACCATGGTGGAGCAGAGAAAGTGGCGTCCTTTCGTATAAAGTTTAGACAACTCTTTGTTTAACTCTTTCCCTTGAGCATTGTCTCCAGCGTCGTCAATATACAACAGCAAGGACTTTCCGCTTTCCGCCAGCAACTTTTGATCCTCCAGAATCTCGGCTATCATTGCATTATTCACTTCGTCAGTGAAAAAGATGTTCCTGTGCTTAGTGCTCTGTGCCAATTGTTTTATGCTCTTATCGTACAAGACTGTATCTGACATTATTATCACTCTGTCAAACACTTTTGCATAAACATCTTCAATCAATCCACATACAAGAGCGGATTTCCCACTTTTGCGCGGTGCGATAAGTGTACTACATATGGGAGGAGCCTGAATGTCGATCGGAATGATTTTGTTTCGAACCTCGTTTTTCTTCGGAAAGATTGGTTTTGGTTTGTAAGACATTAATTCTCTTACCTTATTACTAAATGTATTCAGAAATTTTATACTCTAGCGTCTCCCAACATACATACAACATCCAACCTGGACGGATCGAGGCTTTCAAAATACTGAGCGTTTCTTTTCTTCAAGATTGGGATCTGGTTGAAAATAACGTGAATGATACTATCGCATTTGCCCAACAAGGTTCGGATACCATCTTGTACGCAAAGATCCCAAATGGTAATTACTCGATCGTTGACTTCCCAAACGCTGTATCCACCGCTATGAATAGCGCGGCTGGCTCTAATGTATACTCTGCTACGTTCGATGGTGTTAGACGCAAGTTAACGGTAAATAGCAACTCGGTTCCTTTTAAGATCCTCCCTGGCAATCGCGGGTCAACAGCCTATATTCTTATGGGAATGTCTTGTCGAGCCGATATTGGCTTCAGTTCCTCTCACGAGATGAAGAATCCTGTCAATTTAAGCGGTTCATATCCTGTCATTTTGACTTCCAACATTCAATGCAAAGGCACTCAGTACCTTACTGATTATAACGACAGCACTCAATCAATCTGTTGCAGTATCGTACCTGATAGTTTTGGGGACATTGTACAATATGAAAATTCAGGCGAGTTTCTTCCCGTTGGACAGACCATATCTCAAGCCGAGTTTCATCTTATCAATTCCCTTACCGGAACAGAAGTATCATTGAATTCTCCTTTAAGTGTCAGATTCGCCATTCTAGACGATGTAGACGATCTCTGACCGCACCTATGTTCCTCTTAAATATTTTGTTTTCTTTATAAAAACTCGTGTTAAATGAGCGAAGATCCAAATCATTCGAGTGCCTCTGCCGATTCTCCTGCCAATACTGAAACGGTACAAGAATCTGTACAAGATTCTATACCGGAGATTCGACCACCTTCACCAAAGCCAGAGTCAAAACCTAAAAAGCAAAGAACACCCGCACAGGAAGCGGCTTTAAAGAAAGCCGTTGCCACACGGAAAAAAAACTTGCAAGAATTGTCCGCTATGAAGAAAAAGGAAAGCAAAGATAGAAAAATCCAAGAAGCGAAACAACTTCTTGAAAAGGAGAAACTCGCAAAGAAATTGGCGAAAGAGGAAAAGGCTAAATTAAAGCCGCAAACATCACAAACCGCTAAACGGGCACGTTCAATCAAAGTTCCACATAATGAACTGACTGCAATTCGGTCAAAACCAAGTCAAGAAACTGAATATGTTGAGTTTGACACTGACTACGTCGATGATGGCTACAATGATTATGGTGGAATTTATGGCTAATTTTTTTTTTGTACTTATTAGTAAACATGTCTGTACCTAACAACTGGCTGTTTGCTACGAAAACTTTCTCCCGCCCGTACAGCGACCCTCGTGGCGAAGGAGTGGCTACTTTTTCGCCTTCGGGTCAAAATGTGTATTCTACGAAAACGCGTCAGTTGACACCTATTAGAATCCAATGCGATTCCAATTCTGTCTCGTTCATTTTACAAAAGTTGATTCTTTCGATGGACGTCACGGCTTTGAAGAATAATGCTCCTGTATCTGGGTCTGGAATCGTTAATACCAAACTTGGTATCGAATCTATCATACAATCGCTCACAGTTAAAGCAGGTAACGAAACAGTTGTTCCGATCCCGAATTATCCTGCGTACCTTGTACAAACGTACAGAAATATGAGTAAAGGCCATAAACAACTACTTGGAAATCTGACCGGTTATGGTTCCACTGATATGTTCAGCGGAACTGCTACAGCCAGCGTTAGTATGCACCCATGGATAGGATTTTTTCACCCAACTAACGATCAATTTTTGCCCGTGTGGGCACTCCCGAATCAGGCCATGACCATCGAGTTGGTACTTGCAGATCCCAATACGGTTTTTACATCTGCTGGAGTAGTTGACGAACTTCAAATCAGCAACATTCCGCTTGCTTAGTGCCTTACGTTACTCCTCCTCCGTCGATCGTTGTTAATGCTACAAGAGCGATTGCTGATGGGAAGAGTATCTACTATGATTATGTTTCGCGCCACTATAACATGAGAATGCATGTAGCGGTGGCTTGAGAAATACTTTCAACCTGCATATGTCAGGGGTTAGATCCCTTATCGGATTGGAAATGTCATTTATAGACGATGATGTGCTTGCAGATCAAACTAAGGACAAGTCACAATCATTCTCGTCTCAAAATCTAAGAGAATGGCGGCTCCAATTAGGACCAAATGCGACAATTCCAAGCGGTCTAACTGGTTTTACTCACGGGCCTTATGATCGTCAAACGCTTCTTGTTTCCCAACTGAGCAACAACGACTTTGAGCAACTTCGCTGATATGGACATTTCATTCAAAGATTATGATACCGCAAATTTCTCGTTTTCTTACGGTTTTGAAGACAAATCCGAAGGAAGCTGGGGCCGCTTTGAGTTTTACGGGAACCGACTCCATACTTCGAGTGCACACCGTACATGCATCGCCCTCACCTAGTCAACGAGTTAGGCTTCTCAGTACATATCATGAGAATGTTACCTTGGCAATCGGGGATGTAGTCAGTGTGATATAATGCGTCTCAATCTTCTCCTTTTCGGGTGTCGTTCCCTGTTCTGATATCTTGATCCTTTACTTTCTCGTAAGAGTGAGAAGTGAAATAGTCTCATACACATTTCATTTGTCACTCTTACGAGAACCAACTTGTTCTTTAATTGTACCGATGTCCACAAAAATTCCCGACCCAACTTCTTTCATTATCAATCCTAACACATCATTCGATTGTCCCACCTTGTATTTTATCTAAGAAATCCTGACCTTGTCTATTAATCTCATCGAGTCTCTGAATCCCCTTTGTTGCAGTGGAATCCACTCGACGCGACGTTTCTTTGATCTTCTCATTGAACAAAGGACTATCCTGGACGGCATTGTTAACGTTTGTGATAAACTTTGCGCTTTTATGTCCCACCTTCACAGCGTTGTTTGCAAATGAACGCGCCTTGTGATAATAACTTGGAGCATTGGTTATAAAAGTATTCGCTTTTTCTTTCAGATTGTTCAAGAAATTTGCCATGTCTGTTATTGTACATAGCACAGAATTAAATTTGATGTCTTTAGATAAATGGCATTCTACAAAGCAAACGTGCTGGAATTCCAAGGGATCAACAGGTCAAAAGGAATCCCAAATCTCCAGCGTCACCAAATCGGACGAGCCCTTGACTATAATAATCTAGATGAGAATGGAAGGCCAGATGTCGTTTATTCGTGGAATAGAAACATCCACGACAAAGATCTTGCAACCAAAACACATTATGTCAAACCAGTTTATGAAGAGCGTGTTTCCAGCGCCGAAATCCTCCGGTTATCTGCAAAACAGCACTATACGCAAGCGTACAAAGATGGTCTAGAATATATCAAAGCCGAGAAGGACTATCGCACTAAAGAACGCTATCTGGATGGCGTTACACCATCTCGGCGAAACAAGACCGTCACAATTGGGACAAGCACATCGACGAGTGGCCTTCCCGTCCCCGACACGGAAGGTAGGGTGTATAACTATGATGCGCAAACAACCGCACAAACCGGATTGATGTTCGAAGCACCTGCTAATCTACATGAAGTCCCAGATTTGCCAAAGAATGTGTCCGGTCAACGTGTCCACCCAGTTATAATCACGCACGAAAACGAGATCGTTGTTGATAACCTTACTGGAGCAGCCCAAGTCAAAACCGGAAGTTCCTCTGTTCTTAAAGCACCTGTTGTAAGCAATTCTCTTGATTATCAAGAGCCAATGATGCCCGGATCGTTTCCTAATATGATTGGAAAAGATGAAGTTAAAATCGAAAATAACAAACCTCCGGAGATCAATATTGGGAATGTAAGAACAGAAAGCAAACCAGAAATCGCTTTGACCACCATCAGCGACCCGAATAAGGTTGAGGAACTCTTATCAAAAACACAAGTTACTAGTAATCTCGTTCGAACCCCTGGGAAGACGCCTATTGGAAATGTGAGGAAAGATCGTCGTTTTGATCCGACCAAACGAAGAATAAAGGACAGATTAGAAGACTCACTATTGCAATCCACACTTAACAAGCAGGAATTGGTAGGATTTTCTGATGGAATTAACATTGAGGTACACAATGATGGCGCAGCAAGACGGAGATTGTCTGCACTCGCCAAAGACACCACAATCCCATCACCAAGACCTCAAGCCTGAATCGGTGCTCGCAGTGACGAGTTAACCATTAATCCCGCTGTTAAACGGAAAGCGGAGGTTTCTCTAAGAAAGGAACCGTCATCAAAGCGATGAAAGATTGATGATGCAGACGAAATTCAATTGGTAGATCCAAAAGTTCTGGAACGATCTAGAATGCATCGGATAGTTCAAGCAAATCTTGGAGTTGAGACCATTGTTGATCCAATGGCTTCCCTTGTTACAAAACATGAAAAAGCCTCATTTTTGCGTCCTATCGCAAATCTACGCGGAAAGGAAAGAATCGATTATGCGATTCCTCCAACATTTACCGTCTCGGATGTTGAACCTAGTGTAAGCATCCGAAAACGCCCAACAAAAACGCAACAAATGCCCACTCGACCTGTTAAAAAGGTTAGAATTAACTGAATTTAAGGATTTACATTCAGTGACCAACGCGCTTCAAGTTGTCGTAATCTGTGCCATTTGGGCTTCCAATTATGTTCAATATCTTTTTTTGTAATGCATTGAATATAATAGAATGTCTGGATTAAACAGCAGAAATTCGAGCGGTTTGCGAAATTTAAACGATACGCTGTTGAACAGCCCGTATGTTTCCAGAAATATGAAAGCCCTTAGTGGAGACACAAAACTCTCCGGATTTCATTCAGCCGAGGTGAAGACGCTCTACAACCAAAACGGCGAATTAAAAATCAACGACCTTGTTGACAGCAAAGATGCTATTATTCATAAGACCAACGGAACCGCATCTGTTGAAGTAATCCCTGACAATATGAAATTTCCACTGGAAAGGAGTTACGGAAGCCGAACTGTTTCCCTTGTAACAAACCTGCCTCTTGGAGTAAGTCAGGACGGTCTCAATTTGTTCCACGATCAGACTCTTTCAGTGAGCAATGAAGGTCTGACTGTAAATTTTCCCCCGCCTGATCTGGAAAATCTTCAAGAACCCTTGTCAAGAGACGATGAAGGACTTAAATTGCATTTTGATGATTCATTGGAGGTCAATAATGGGAAATTGGCCGTTATCAAAGAGTCTTTCATAAGTCCTTTGACGCGTGACGTACAAGGAGTCTATCTGGATATCGACTCCACATTGAAAGTTGAAAACAGTCAGTTGTCAGTTGTTCAAGAAAATGTTGAAGCGATTGTTAACGAGGCTGTTCGAGTAGAAGTTCCGCTTTCAAAAGATGCAGATAAGGCAATCTGCCTCGATTATGGGAAAGGGTTGAAAGTAAACGATGAAGGGAAATTGGAAACCGACGTTGATACAGTGATTGTTGGACGAGGGGCGATAAGCAATGATAAAGCAGGAAGTATTGCACTCGATGACCTTCTAGAGACCGGTTTCGATTCTCTAGCGGACTTTCTGGGATCAGAAACTGATGTTGATACAACTGTTGTGCGTTTAAAGACATCTGATGATTTCCAACAGACTGGGAACAAATTGGCTATCCGCTCGAAAGGTATGGGACAGGTTCCATTCTACTCGGCTTTAAGCGGGTTGAATGGAGACAGTAGTTTTACGTATAATGAAACGTTGAACGAATTACACGTTCCGCATATATACGTTAATCCGGACTTTGACCCTGATAATAACCAAGTACCTTCAACTGCCTACGTGGAGCAACTGTATCAAAGTGATTCAGGCTCACCCATTGATATCTCTGGAGTCAGTTCTGGAAGACGGACCATTGGCTTGCGAACAGATGCGACATTAGCAGTCAAGAATCAAGTTCTTGGAGTAAACGTAAGTCCGCTGGTGGACAATAAAGGTGTGAGGGTTATTGATGGGAAGATTGGAATAGGTTTAACTTTCCAACCAGGTAATGGTGGATTGAAGATCGAGAATCAGAATCAAGTGAAACTCGCACCTACAGTTACCGGTGCGGTTACCTTCGATGGGAATAACACGTTTGGTGAGAAAATCACAGCAAGTAATGGAGTCAAGCGTGTGGAAAATGACCTTCAACTCGATCTTCAAGCGGGGGATAATACCGTGACGGTAACTGGCAATTCGATTAAGGGCGCATATACAGGATCTAATGGAGTGTCAGTTACGGGAAACACTATTTCCGGGGCCTACACCGCCGGAAACAATATCAGTATAAGTGGATCGACAATATCATGTACATACCAACCAGAACCAGAAACGCCAAATGTACTAACTGGAACGTTGCCTATCATCGTAACTGGAGCAGATAAGGAGTATAACATCGCAAAACAACCTTTAGTCATAACGGGCGGAAGTGGCATTTTGGTAGTGGGCTCGGAGGAGACCGGCTTCAATATTTCTTCCATACAGTCCTACAAGAACAGGAAAGAAGATGATGATCCGGAAGAGAAAGACGAAACCTCAGAGCCCAGTGGAGAATCTGATCCTTTAACTGTTTCCGGAACCAACCCCGTAGTCTCCGTCACTGGTCCCCTTTCTACCATCCTTGGAGGCGCAATTGGCCTCATTGGGCCTGCGGCTGGCACTCCATTTGCCACATCTGCTATCGGTAGCGTCGGGGGTCTTCTTGGAGGACCTGCTGCAGCAGCCGGAATTATTGGTGGTTTCATCGCTGCGAGTGGTCGAGAAAGAAAGAACCAGAAAGACGCAAATGGTAACAATGTAGTGGATTCAAAGGGAAACCCCGTTCCAGATCCAAACGGCTCACAAGTTATCATTGCAACTTTCCCTAAAACAGATGATACATCCTGTGATGTTACGAGATTACTTTTTGACACTCCACCTTCATGTTCGTATCTTGGCATTGCAGGAGAGGTCCCACAGCAGGAAATCAACTTGGATATGCTACGTCAATACGACTCTACAATAATACAGCCAACTTACTCTAATTTGATCAGTCAGAATACAAGTCTTCTTCAAACTGCCATCGATAGTAAAGTCGCAAAAACGGATACCATTCCGTATGCAAAAATAACAAATGCTCCAGATCTCACCATCTACGAGAAGAAATTAACATTTGCTGGACCTATAATTTCCAGAGATACATCTAACACCGTTTTGGTCAATACCGGAAACATCACTACTCTTGGGACACTCACATCTCTTAACGTAACAGGCGCTTTGACCGCCGGCTCCAGAAGCAGTCCTACCTTGACAAATTATCTTACAACAGCAAATGCAGCCACAACGTATCAACCACTTAATGCTCGTCTTACAAATTTTGGGAACATTGCACCGACAAATACGTACATGCTTATCGCAAGCGGAGGCAATTCATTCAGTATTCCCCAGCAGACGTTCGTGCGAATCTCTCATTAAAGAATCTGAGTTTGCTCGATACTTTAGACTACACTAGTTCGGCGTTGGTGAACAAACCTACGCTTGGTTCACTTGCAGCACTTAGCAGTATAGATTACACTTCGGCTTTACTTACGAACAAGCCTACACTTGGTTCGCTTGCAGCCCTTAGCAGTATTGACTATGCTTCGGCTTTACTTACAAACAAGCCTACACTTGGCAGTTTGGCGGCTAAATCCGTTATCAATCTTGCAAGTGATGTCAGCGGGGTCCTTCCCGTTGCCAGTATCGATCCTAACATTGTGCTTGCAGGAACGGGTTTAACTAAAACTGCTCAGACTTTAAGTGTCAATCCTGTACAAACACAAATTACAAGTATCGGTACTTTAACAGGTCTTTCCGTTTCTGGTTCTAGCACATTTACAGGGTCAATAACCGTACCTACTCCAACCACGGCTTCGCATGCTGTGACAAAATCATATGTGGATGGATTGATTTCTACAACGCAAACGGGAGCGCAACCGCTAAATGGAAAATTGACTGCTATTTCTTCGAGCACCGCCACTCTCAACAATTTCCTTGTAGGAGATGGAACGAATTATATCAGTACGACTCCATCAGCATCTAGGACGGCTTTGGGTTTAGGCTCGATTGCATTGAAGAATTCTATAGATTTAGCAAACGATGTTGGAACAACTGTCCTTCCATATGCCAACATTGACGGAACCGTCGCCTTGAAATCCTATGTAGATGGTTTAGTCCCAACTGCAGGAACGGGATTGACAAAAACAGGAAACGTTTTCAGCGTTAATGCTAGTCAAACAGGTATAACATCTCTTGGGACCCTATCATCATTGAACGTTAATGGAAATGCGAACTTTGCTGGAGATGTCACGGTGTCAGGAAATGTAGTTGTATCAACTGTCCCGACATTGGGGACACATCTTACAAATAAGACATATGTTGATACGCTTCTTAGTGCTGGAACAGGATTGACACGTAGTGGAAACATTTTCAGCGTAAATGTGGCTCAGCCTCAGATAACATCTGTTGGAACGCTGTCATCTTTGAATGTTGGTGGAAATGCGAACTTATCCAATGGTCAAATTGCCGGAACGACTGATTCTACGTCGACAAATTCAGGTTCGCTCCAAGTTGTTGGCGGAGTTGGTATTGGGAAAAGTGTGGTGGTTGGCGGCACCGTGTTCCTAGGAGGAACAACGGCGAACCTGAATACCACAACAGGACAGACTTTGAATATAAATAACGCTGCATCGACTGTAGTTGCTTCTACTCTTGACTCCAACGCTATAAATGCTGGTTCTCTCCAAGTTGCAGGCGGGGTTGGAATTGCTAAATCATTATACGTCGGTGGATATGGAATCATAAAGGAATCTACAGCCGGAAATGGACTTTCTGTAGGTCTTATAAACTCCAACGGTGGAGGTTGGACTTTGTGGCATATAGGTCAAACTAGTGGCCGTGGAACTAATAATTTCGGTTTGTACAATAATATTGCCGCAAATCTTGCGTTATCGGTGAATGTGGCAACAAATGCATTAACTATCAATTCGGTATCGGACTCAAATGCTACAAATGCTGGCGCTTTACAAGTCGCCGGAGGAGTTGGTATCGCCAAGAAATTGACCGTAGGGAGTGATGCGAGTTTTGTCGGGTCAAATCAAAGTATCTTTTGGTACAACGGTTCGGTATCAATACCCACATTCGGAAGCAGCATAACGGGCAACGTTTCAGCAGCAGGGTACTTTTCCTCAAATTCGGCTATTGGCGATATGGTAATTCGGGCACAGTACAATAATGCACCAACGAACTTACGATTCGCTAACGGACCCGGCGTATCAAACCTTGATATATTGACAAATGGAAATGTTCTAATCAATACAACAACCGACTCCTCTTCTACAACAACTGGCGCTCTAACAGTTGCTGGAGGTCTAGGTGTGGGAAAATCTCTATTTGCTGGTTCAGCCGCCACGGGAAGTCATACAATGCAAGTAAACTCGACATCTGTCGATGTTTTGAAACTTCAGAGTCTTTCGGCATCTGGGTTTTCTACTATCGGTTTCCTTAACAACACAGGAACGGTAGTGGGGGCTTTTGGTTACGCAGGAGTCAATATGACCGCTCCAAATGCTGGGAACTTTTTTCTCTATTCCGGTTCGAATGCCAATTTCATAATCAACTCTAATCTGCCATCTGTACAGATTCTTTCCACTATAGATTCTACTACGACAACATCAGGTTCCCTTCAGGTGAGAGGTGGAGCGGGTATTGCAGGGAATGTCAATTTTGGTAAAGACTTGACTGTTAACGGCACAATCTACTCCAATATCTCCTCCACCGGACCTATTGTTAGCAGCCATCTTGGGACACCGAACTTGGCAGCGGGGAGTTTCACGACTTTACAGATTGGAGTAGGAGCGGCTACAAATAGCATGGCCAGGGTATATTTCAACTATGTTGGAGCGGGTCTTGCAACCAATACGTTGGGTTTGGGATTATGGAATGCACCACAAGGTCTTACAGTGGACGGAACAGGTAAAGTTTCTATTCCTACCGGTTCTATCGGCAATTTGACAGTTTCAGGAAACATGAATTTCACCGGGAGTTTAGCAACAATTTCTGCTACAGGTTCACAAGGTCCTCTCTCCATAGACCCAAATCAGTCTTCCAATCCTTATGTGAGAGTATGGGACGACTTGAGAACTGTAGGAGATTTTTCCGTGTGGAATTCGGCCGAAAATACCACTTGGTTTAAAGTCTCCACCAGCAGTGGTAACGTCGCGCTTACCACAACCGATTCCACAGGAGTTGGATCAGGCGCTCTTCAAGTGAATGGAGGCACTTCTGTTGCGAAAAATGTATATGTTGGAGGTACTGTATCGGTCTTGAACACTTCTGATGCAACTTCTAACGCATCGGGCGCTCTTCAAGTGAATGGAGGCGCATCTGTAGCAAAATCTCTATATGTGGGTTCGAATCTTAATGTGACCGGTGATTTGAACAGTCCTGCCTTAACATCGAAAACTACTATCATTCCATATCCACAGATGCCAGCAACAGGTTCTTCATGGAACGGGTATACAGTCACCGCGTCATCTGAGTATACATACCCAAATTCGAACGGAGTTGATTCGTATACAGGTCATCCATTCGACGCTTACATGAACGCCTCCGTTGCATCCAGACTGCGGTGGGCAACCGCGAGCACTTCGACAGCAAACCTAGGACTCGATGGAACAACACAAAGTCTTCATTACTCATTATTGAGACTCCCTTCAGCCGTCGCTATGAGTTCAGTCAAAATGACAGCATATTTGATGGACGCTGTTTCGATGCCAACAACATTTGCTGTAGTTGGTGTTATGGACGACGCGTCCATACCATGCGCTTACCTCATGACAGCATCCCAACAGTCAGTCAATGTCAATTCCCTGTCAAAACCTGACATCTGCCAAACCACGCAGCCGCACGTAGCCACACCTCCCAACACTCGGCGCTTACAAACCCTTCTCCATACTTCCCCACGTACCCGCCCACAGCCTCAGCGTAGCCACCCCATCCCCAGTCTTCTGTTTCTATGCTTTCCCACCCTTGGCGCTTCTCTTGGCTTCCCTCTCATTCCGTACCCTTCTGCTTCCCCACGCTTCCCCAGCCTTCCCAGAAAAACATAAATAGCCGCCTCCCCTGAGCTCCCCACTTCCTGATCCCCCAGCAGATCAACACCAGTTCTTCCTAGTCTTGTTCTAGTTCTTGTTTCGGTCTGAATACCATTACCTGTCAACAACCTGCACCAGAAGTCGCCTCTATTTCCATCGGCTCCGCCCATTCATAACAGTTTGATCTGCTCAACAACCCCCAGCCGCTGTACCTCCACGCCAAATCACCATGTCCGACGCCCTTCCCCTCACGGCCGAAGCCTGGCAAGCCATGTGCAATGCGATTGACGAACTTCGAGCGCAGAATACCACCCTACAAGCCGAACTAGCGCAAACCCAGACCACTGCCCCTGCCACCCACGCCCCCGAACCCAAAATCAGTCTCCCAGACAAATTTGATGGCACCCGAAGCAAGTTCCGTGGGTTCCTCAACCAGATCCGGCTCATGTTCGCCCTCCAACCCAGGCGCTACCCCAACGATCAGACCAAGATACGAACTATTGGCACCTACCTCACTGGCACCGCCCAGGCCTGGCTGGCGCCCCTTGTCGAACAAGATCATCATTCCCTTACGAACCTGGATGATTTCATCCAGCAAATGCAAGCAGTCTTTGGAGACAGCGACAGGATCCGCACGTCCGAAAACAAGCTCCAGAACCTTCGACAAACCCGTGCAGCAACAGAGTATGTAGCTGAATTCCGACATCTGCAATGCGATGTGTTGTGGAATGACCAGGCATTGATTGCCACCTTCCATCGCGGCCTCAAAGAAGACGTCAAGGACTTAATGCTCACGATGCCCCCTACCGCCTGAATCGACACCGTGATGGAACAGGCCATCCAATGTGACAACCGATTGTTTGAGCGCCGTCTAGAGCGAAGCAGGAACCGACAGCCATATGTGCCAGTTACCACTAGCCCCACCCTCATGAGCCCCGACAACCGCCCAGACGACCCTATGATCATTGACGCTGCTCGTCCGCGAGGACCCCTCACACCGCTAGAGCGCCAACACCGCATCACAAACAAACTTTGCCTCTACTGTGGTAAACCCGGCCACATAGCCAAACTCTGCCCGAACAAGATACGCACGGCGAATGTCGCGGTTAAGGAACCTGCACCCATCCAGGATTTTGCCCAAGTCCAGCTGCAGTAAAGGCCGAGCAGCTGGGCAACACCTGTCCTGGGGCCTTCTCACCACGCAAGTACTGCCAAGGGAGAAGCCACAAAACCTTGCTCCGATCCTGGCATCTCCAGCAACACCCTTCTCCTGACCACCAACAATGTCAATCTCCTATCTGAGATACCCTCACCCATGCGGACTTTGGGCCCATCCTCACCATTCGAGTACCCTGTTACCCTGCAGATATCGGCCCAGCGAGCTCCAGTTCAGCTTTCAGCACTACTCGACACCTGTGCGATGTCGTGGTTCATCGACGAAAGTTATGCCCGCAAGCACCGCATCCCACTTGTCAAGAAGGAGGACCCCATTGCGCTTGAACTGGTTGACGGACGTCCCAGCCATGCGGGCTCCATTACCCATCACACCCAACCTTTGGGCATGTGGGTCAACGACCATTTTGAGGAGGTGGTATTCCATGTGACATGTTCCCCGCATGCGCCAATCATCCTGGGGCTTCCCTGGTTTGAGCTCCATGATGTGGAGCTACATTGGAAGACTCGCACTCTTTGCGTCCGCTGCCATTGCGGTTTTGGACAATACGCCTCCTGGGATGCCTTGCCAACAGAACCTAGCCCGAAGCCCTCAAGAACCCCTGAACCTCTGATCCGTATCCATCAAGACGAGATTTCAGTCTCCCTAGCCCAGACACCCAACACACTGGACCCAGCACCCACACCGATCCACGTATCGTTTATCAGCGCCCCAGCTTTCCGTGTGGCGGCAAGGCATGACCAGGCATTCATTGCCTACGCCAATCCGACCAAGTCAGATTCCCAAGCCCTGGCGACCACTCCTCCAAAAGATCCAAAGGCCATCATTCCTGAAGAATACCAAGATTTTGCGGACGTCTTCGCCAAGAAGAACGCGGATACCCTCCCAGAGCACCGACCCTACGACTGTCCCATCGACTTAGAAGAGGGCAAACAGCCACCGTTCGGCCCGATCTATAGTCTCAGCGAGCCTGAAATGCAGGCACTCTGTGACTACCTTGAAGAGAACCTAGCTAAGGGGTTCATCAAGCACTCCAAGTCTCCCGCCGGTGCCCCAGTCCTCTTTGTCAAGAAAAAGGACGGTTCCCTCCGTCTGTGCGTCGACTATCGTGGACTCAACAATATCACCATCAAGAATCGCTATCCCTTGCCCTTGATTAACAGCATCATGGATCGTCTTCGAGGGGCACGCCGGCTCACCAAGATTGACCTCCGGGGAGCCTACAACCTTCTTCGGATCCGGCCAGGGGATGAATGGAAGACAGCGTTCCGATGTCGCTACGGCCTATTCGAGTATAATGTCATGCCGTTTGGGCTCACCAATGCCCCTGGAGTATTCCAACACCTCATGAACAACATATTCCGTGACATTCTCGACGTTTTTGTTGTGGTCTACCTTGACGGCATTCTGATCTTCTCAAAAAACCCAGAAGACCACCCCAACCACGTCCGAGAGGTGCTCTCACGACTCCGCCAGCACGGGCTGTATGCGAAACCGGAAAAATGCGAATTCAACCGTGACTCTGTTGAGTTCCTGGGGTTTATCATCTCCCAGCAAGGCATTTCCATGGACCCAAAGAAGACGGCTGCCATTACCGAATGGGAACCCCCGACGAATGTCAAAGGCATCCAGCGCTTCCTTGGTTTTGCCAACTTCTACCGGCGATTCATCAAAGGGTACTCTGCGATCGTTGCACCCCTCACCACGCTCACTCGCAAAGACTTGCCATTCAAATGGACCCACGCTGCACACCTAGCTTTTGAAACCCTCAAGAAAGCCTTCACCTCCGCACCTATCCTGACTCACCCCGACCCTGACAAGCCCTTCATTGTCGAATCCGATGCCTCCGACTTTGCCCTTGGCGCCGTCCTCCTTCAACCCGATGACACAGATCAACTCCACCCCGTGGCCTTTCACTCCCGCAAATTTACTCCTGAGGAAATCAACTATGAGATCTACGACAAGGAACTCCTGGCTATCCAAGACTCATTTGCTCAATGGCGACACCACCTCATTGGTGCCCGCCACAAGGTCATCGTTTACTGTGACCACAAGAACCTCCAGTACTTCATGACTACCCGTACCCTCAACCGCCGCCAATCCCGCTGGTCAATCTTCTTTGCTGATTTCGACTTTGTCATCACATACCGCCCTGGTACCCAGCAACACCAAGCTGACGCCCTCTCTCGTCGCTCTGAATACGAGCTAAGGGAGGGGGAAGAAGCATTCCGCTCCCAGGAAATCACGATCCTCACCCCTGACCATCTCCGCCTGGCCGCCACTTATCTGACCCCACTGGACTCCTCGCTCCTTGACCAAATCAAAGCTGCCCTGGCATCCGATGTGTTTGCGCAAACCATCCGGCGACAGCTTAGGGCCCCCATTGCCCAGCAATCTCAAGAAGACCAAGAACGGATAAAGCGATTCTCCGAGGAAAATGGGGTTCTGCTGTACGACAACCTTGTCTACGTCCCCACCAACAAGCTCCGTGCTGAGATCTGCCGGGACATGCATGACACGCGTTTGGCAGGACACTACGGCATGTCAAAGACCCTGGAGCTCATCTCACGCAACTACTGGTGGCCTAGCCAATGGCGTTTTGTCAAGTCCTACATCAGGTCCTGCGACGTATGTGCTCAAGCCAAGACCAGCAGACACAAGCCCTACGGTCTCCTCCAACCCCTGCAGGTCCCTGACCGCCCCTGGGGGTCAATTTCCATGGACTTCATCACGGATCTACCCGCCAGTGATGGGGTTGATTCTGTGCTCGTTGTCATCTGCCGGTTCACCAAGATGGCGCACTTTGTACCGTGCAGGAAAAC